TTTTGATAATTACGAAAGACCGTTGCTATTACGCTTTGCAGAAAGCTCGCAGGCTATGCCGGTGCATATGAACGCTATTAAACGCTTCCTTCGAAAGTGCTACCGGTTGCATTAAACTCGCCTCGGTTCGGATGCACAACGGCCCCCGCTCGCAGCATCCGCCGTTTCAATCCTATCCCTTTGTCTCAGGTAAAATGCGTAATCTCCCGGTAGGCGTGTTACGCTCCATATTCGCGTAATAGCGGAAAATAACGCCGTTGGCGAAATGGCTCTTAATGATTCTGGATGATACCGCGAGGCGATGGGGAACGAATAGAATATCCCGCGGATAGCGATGGCGGGATAGTATCTATGTGCACCATCGAAAAAACGACACGGTCGACAAGTTGCGATCGATCGTGTCGCAAATGCTCGAGAGGCGGCCGATCCGCGACCATGGAATAGGAAACAAACGCGAAACCCGGGAAGGAGAGAGGAAGTAAAGGAGATCGAATCGATCGCGTTTGGTCCGCAGATGTCGGGATGTCGAGAGACTGTGCGCGGCTTTTTACGAGTTCCCAACCGTGGAACTTGCATTTCTTTCCGACGCAAAAGGGGGATGGGATAAGGCAAAGCCCTATTCGCCGCAGGTTTTATTCAAATTCTCTTCGCCCCTAAGCGCCAGCTGCGCCTCATTCCCTTTCTGCGCTCCTCCGGCGGGGCTGATTCAAAGGGAAAAAAGTTGCGCGAAGATCTGCGAAATCGCGTGACCACGCGCCGTTTTGTCACGACAGGGCCATCTCTCCCGAGTGTTCGGAGCTGCTCTCCGGAGAACAATGTTAGGGTCAGTGAACCCTCATAATAGAAAGACCACCAGAGATCTCTATAAAATGCACGGTTAGAAATGAGAAAAAAAGATAAAAAGATTTATACTTTTTTTAAACTTCTCATTTTCAGATTCTTAAATATTATTGATTAAATATTATATTTATTTAGATCCCATATATAATTTGAAATATCTGCGAATGAATAAGTCACGATTGAAGAATACAATGTTAATTCCATTTGCTCTTTATTACTCGCTTATAATAAATTGAGCAGAAAAAGAAATCGCAAGAGAAAAGTTCATATTTTTCTTCCTTTATCAAAAATAATATCTCAACACGGAATGATTCACATTTCTCGAGAAAATTTTTAAGACTTAATTAAAATTTTAATGAGAGCTATCACTATAAGAAGAATACTTTATTTCTTCGATGCGTTAATAAATGAAAAATGATTGCTTTCATTGCATCGTTCAGTCATTTTTATTATTAGACGTGCAATTAAGAGGCTGCCAGATGTTTGATAATACTTGGTAATATATCCCAAAAACCTGCTGCTTTGAAGGATTAAATTCGTATTCGCGTATTAATGAAAACTGTTAAAATGAAAGTTAAGAACTTTAACTTCTTCTGTAACTTACAGAATAGAAATCCGGTCACGTAGTGTCAGACTGTTATTAAATTGAATGACTAGACCAGCGCGAATGATATATCCCGGTGGCTTCTTTATGCAACCGAATAAAGAACGTCGCGTACCGAGACTTTTCTGTGCGGATCAACTTTTTCGCAGAATGTCTCTCGATGTTTCAGTATTCATTTCGTAAGTTTCTTTACATCTATGCCATCGTCACTTATTTTTAAATAAAAAAATCAGAAATCAGAATTTAGAGAGACGCGCCATTTGAATCCAAAATTCAAAATGCATTTCCAAGCGTAATCATTAATGTAAAAATCATCTGTTTGTATATCATGGATTCGTACTTAAATGCAGCTTTCGTATGAATGCATTGTGAACATATTCTCCATTTTTCGTAGAGATCCCTTTTTCAACGCTTCATTTTTCATGCATTCGCGTGCACCGATGCGATGACGCTAAGTATCCTTTGAATGCAATGAAATAACGATAATTCGTGGCGCCATGAAAATCGAATTTCTCGAAAAAGTAAGATCTTTTTAATATTGTTTGTGACTAATGTTTTTTGCATTCATGTATAATTGATCCATAGGTATGTCATTTATTGTTAAAAGAATTTGTATGATTTTTCAAAAGTCAATTTATTATCTATTATCAATTAAAATTAACATTATTTTGTAAAATAGCTGTATTTAAACTAACTAACATATTATTTTATTCAAATTTCATAAATCATTCTTTTCAATTTTCTAAATAAAAATATTGACAGCTTT